CCAACAAGAATCATGTTTAGCATGTTCTTTGCTGACAAAGGGGCAGAGAGAATTTCAAAGCTAATGAGAAATGGGAATAGAGTATTATAGCTTTCTTACAATAAGCTTATTGGTAACTATTCTGCTTATAACATGCCACTTATAGATTACTTCTGAGTGTTTAGTTTGAGTTTTATTTCTTTAAGAACCTAACCATATTCAAACAAAATCTTCTTTATAATAGTCCATAATTCAAGCTTTGACTAATTTGCCCTAGACTTTACTCAGTCTAACCCTCCCAAAGAATAAGGATTTCCCATCTTGGGTACCTCACTTGGTGAAGTTTATGATCATAACTTTGCATGTGTTTGGCTTATTTCCATGCTCCATATTTACTCCACTGGAATGAGCATCCCCATGGAAATGAAGAGTGAAGCGCCAATTCTCATCAGCATACTCAGTTTCAATCTCTTCTGTCCCTAGGAAGCCTATTCCGTCGCACGACAGTTCAACATGATCCCACCCGTCTGTGAACAAGCTGAGTACCATCTTTTCCAGAGAGAGAAGGTGGAGGTCCAGCTGCCAGAGCTCTACCATAAAATAGGTAATCTTTAAAATTACATCTGATCATTTTTTGAAATATGAGAATCAAGGATGGGGGTGAGGGTGTTAGGAAAATGCTTTCCCAAATGTCCCTAAATAATGTGATACAGAGACGACAAGAACTGTGCATCTCAGAGATAGTGGCAGAATCAGGTGGGTCCATAGTTAGTCTACAAGATCCTGTGATGCCAATCACAGAGTTGTACATTGACTTTCAGACATACACTCAGCAGGTGTTCAAAAACTGCACACACAGAGAGGATGCAGTGGATAAAGCTGATTTGCATAGGTGCTTGCTCCAGCATAAACATGCATCTGTGAGTAGACTGAGTACCGTTTCAAAAGCACGTAGAGGTCCAACCACATGTCTCTCGTGCTGTACCTGGGCCTGGGTAAGACGGAAGGAAGTCAACAACAACCACCAAGTCAGGACAATTAGTTTGTGTGGAAGCAGTGCCTAGGGTGGGGACACAGAGGCAATACAAACACAAGAAATTTGGATATTAGAAACAATCAATAAGCTGCATTTTCAGGCCTAGATGCCAAAGCAGTTTCCAGAGGTGATTTTTTCCCCCTAAAAATAATAGTCAAATGCTGGATTCAGCAATAGCTGGTGCTGTTTCTGTCGAGCACCAGGCATTTGCTGGGTGCGGACTGCGCTCCTGCTAAGCACCAGGTACTGTCAGGCACTGGTGGAGAAATGAAGCTCCGACTCTCTGTGCAAGCAGAAACTCTTATCTCTTGGTCTATGAATTGTGGCCGTGAAAAGATCATGAATAAGCCGTATTTTCGGGCTCGCTTAGAAGGCTCACTCCCAGGAACAGACAGTACATGTTTAATTGGTTTATAAAAGAACGAGGCACAATTTGTAAGTCCTAGGGTGTAATGGAAAGACGGGTGCTGGTATTAACTCATTTATCTGGCCAGCTTTCCTCTAGAACTGAGCTCTGCTGAAACACACCCTCGCTTTCGGTCCCACTCGGCACAAGCAAGTTTCTGTGATTGTGTTTTTGTTTTTCCCTCGCAGGGGTTGGTGCAATGACATGGTCCCCGCTTGCCTGTGGAATTATTTCAGGAAAATACGGAAATGGGGTGCCAGAAAGTTCTAGAGCATCACTGAAGGTATTTTCCTTAACTTCTAGAAAAGTCTAGGGGAGGGAAGAAGGGAAGATGATGGATTAGGAGCAGAGCAGCGGCCCAGGGCTTCTCAGCTTAAGCACACTGTGGCCTTGGCTAGCCATGGCCTCTGGCAGGGCCCCCTCAACCCTGCCCAGGTCTCTCTCTGCTGCTGGCAACGGATCAGTCAGCCCTTCATAATCTGCCTGCACAGAGATTTCGTCTCTAAGGACTGAACGTGTCCAATGACCTGGTTGACTTGCAGACTCAAATCCCTACATTCTTACTTGTTCTTATGTTAAAGGAGGTATTTCATTCCTTGTCTGGAAGTGACAGAACTTAAAAATCCCTTTTCTATGTAAGAGGATTTAATTTTCCTTTTCTTGAGAAAACAAAACTTAACCCATAAGGGCTTAATCCATTTGAGGTAAACAGCTGTAGCTGGGTATGGTTTGAGGTTGGCTTACATTTCCTGTCCCCAAGCACAGTAGGAAAGAGGGCCCCGGGAAAGAGAAACTGAACACACCCTCACCAGCCTCCAGTCTGCGCAGTGGGTGTTTTATTTTATTTTTTTAAATCAATATGTATTGTACCACATGGTGGGTTTCTTAATGTTCTGTTCATCATTTACTTGACCACTCCCCATTGCCCAGTCCCATCGGAGGCCCCTTCCTGCTGATTAACTTATTGGGGAGTACTAACATCTTTTCTTATTAACAACAAGGTGTCTGTTCTTTAAAAGCTTGAGAGAATGTGCAACAACATTACGATCACAAATTACTCTGAAATGTCAAGGAAGAGAGAATACAGGAATCTTAAAAATTCAGACAAGCCAAAGTCATCTTAAGAAGAAGCATATGTCCGACCCAGGCTCCAGCCTCGATTAGCGCTGAACCAGCAGAACAGCCCAGCTCTTTAGGGGGGCGGGCGGAGGGGGGGGGGGCAGTGACAGGACACAGAGACATGGATGGGACAGGACAACTGACCACCAACACTTCCCTAACTAGAAACTTCTCAAGGCTTTTCTGACTACAAGAGTTGAGATTTTAGCTTGTTTGTTCTCTAAAATCACAAGATATAAATATCCCCCAAAGCATGCTGACATGACAGTGTTCTCATTTTTTAATTATCCCAAAGCACAGTTATCTCAGAATATTTAATGAGATCTTGTTCCTGAAAACTGAAGGTCGTTCAGAACAAATTCTAAACAAGTCCATGAGGAAAAAAACTAAAGGCATCTTAGGCAAGATGTGAAAATGGTGGCAGGCAGGAAGGGCATGACGGAAAAGGAAATACTGAGAACTGTCCTTTTATTGAACACCTGCCACGTGCCAAGGAGCTGTGCGTTATCTTTGGCTCCCTTTTATCTTCACAGTGAGAAATGGACACAGGTAGCTTGCAGTCAGTTGTGGCTAAGCTAAATTGCTATATAGACACTCCTCTACTTACCATGGGGTAAGGCCCAGACAAACGCATTATAAGCTCAAAATGTCCTGTCAAAAATGCACTTAATATTTGAATATCATAGCTTAGCCTAGCCTTATCTTGAAAAAAGAAAAATAAAACATCTAATACAAATCCTTTTTATACTAAAGAGTTGGCTATCTCATGTAACTGATTGACTATTGGACTGAAAGTGACTAGCAGAGGTTGTATTGATACATCTTCTGCTTATCAGTAAGAAAATCCCAAGTCAAACAATGGTAAGCTAGAGACCATCTGTGTATTCTTTCATAGGCTTTCCCAAAATTTCAAAGCACTTCACATATGTGGGCTATTTGTTCTCAGAGTAATCCCGCAAGAGGCAGGCTTCTGCCGGATGCAGAAACTGAAGCCCAGGGACATTAAGCAACACGAAGACCATAAACTCCTAACAGATAAAGCTGACATGAGAAGCCAGGCCTCCTGCTGTCAGTGAGTTATCTTCCCCAGAGACATCTGTTTCCTTTCACACCCAGGTCTTTAAGGGAAGAAGCAGTTGTGCTGTGTCTGGTCGGTGGGACTGTGCAGCCTCTACCACCGTTTGATAAAAAGCTCACACACAGATGGAAAACTTCCACAAACGCACTAACCTAAGTAGGGAGGGGGGTGGGGAGAACACACAAAATGACTGACTATGGCTAAGCCCAAAAGGTAACTGGGGAAATGTTGTCTTTCATGAAGTCAGTCAAGTAGGCACTACAGGGACATTAACAGGAAATGTTTAGAACCTGTCCAAGCGAAAGGTAGCTAGCTGTTCGTCAGGTGCTAGGCTGCAGACTGCCACGAACTCTCCAGTGTGTTCAGAGCAACATGCCTGTTCTTGGGGAAGCACTCAAGCGGAACTACCAAAGTGAAAAATGAAAATAAAAAATTAAAGCAGCAAATGGAAGGGCATCCTCAGGACTAAATTAGAGTGCTAATAGAAAAATGAGAGACAAGTGGACAGATAGATACATTGGCAAATTTTAACACAGCCCTCCAAATGGTTCATATAACACTGCTGTTGTTATTATCAATGAAATGTATTTTATGTCTGCTATATTGAACTACAATTGAAGAATCAATCACTTTTTAAAAAATGACTCTCCAGGGCTCTTGCAATCAACAAGATTAGCCAGGGAACTTTCTCTTCTGGCTGGCTCCATCCCTCTAACAATGACTTTTAACTCCACATCCTCAGCTCTGACTCCACTGTTGGGAAGCAAACCGCTTCTTCCAGTCTAACAGATGTCCCATGGGTATCTGTCAAGCCCAATAGAATCTACTCCCACATTCCCTTCTGCTCAAACTTAACTCTCCTCTAGATCAGCAATGCCTCGCTCTGCCCAAGGTCTAGCCATCCTGGTCAGATGTCATAATGCCACCTCACATTACCACCTCTTCATCCTCACCATGCCTAGCAACCACATCCTCCAGACCACATCCCACCTCTCAGGTCCGCCCCTGCACAGCCCTAATGCAGGTCTTCATCTTTCCTTACCAGGTTTACTGCAAGTGAACTTGGATGCTCTCATTTCCTCCCTCTTCCCAACAATCTGCCCTTGTGGTTAATTATCTTCCTAAAAGACCATATCATAATCCATTTTAAAATGCTTTCATGACTTCTCAGTTCCTGCTTACAGGATAAGTCCCAAATCCTCTTGGAATCTAAGTCAAGTCTATGTTCCCATTCTTGTCTCTACTATCCCATGTTATTTCATTTCCCACCCAAATGCACTGTACTCTCCCTTGCCTCCCAGAGTGTTCTTTTCATCCTCTTGTGGCTCTCCCATCTTATCCTTAAGAACAAAGCCTGTAGCCTTATAAACTTACTGAGTTACCTGCACTTTTCCTCTGTTTAGTCCATCAACACTTCTTTCAGAGGCTTGAAGTTCTCTGGCTTCAGTGACAGACCTCAGTGTGAACAATCTCATTCTAAGAACTCTATTGTCACATAGACAATCCTTGAGGATGGAGTAGGGCATGGCTCAGTAGGGATCTGTCCATGGACTTGAACATTATTAGTCCTCTGTCTCCTCTACTTATTTCTAATATGGATATGCCATTTTCTTCCACTATTCATGAATCTTGCCAGTGATGCTGGGAGCAGGAAAACTAACAGCCACATCCTTAAGAGAACGTATCCTAGAAGAAAAGAGATCTTTGATTCACTAACTTCAGACCAGAGAAGAATGGCCAGAGTTAGGCAATGCCCAACCTGTGAGACCAGCAATAGTAGCTGAAAGAGAAAAATACTTTGGTCAGCTCAGTCATGTACCACTTTGTTGGAGTATTTTTCATAAAGAAGGTGCTACAAACATGACTGGTGAGGAAATCATCGAAAGAGGAAGGACACTCAGCTACAACACTTGAGTTCCTAGACACTGACTAAAGCTCTCTAATCCATCACAGAACCTGGCACAATTCAATAAGTTCCGAATGAATGAATGAATGAATGAATGAATGAATGAATGAGATAACCCAAAACATAAGATAAATTAGTTGTTGGCAAATATTACTGTATGTGTTGGTTGCTGAGAATACAGGGACCAATGGAATAACCCTGATGTTCACGAAGTATCTTAGTTCAAGATGCTCAAGAGACGAACATATGGAAGGGAACATTATGGAGCAACAGAATCCACAGCACTGTGCCGTCCACAGAGTGGCAACCATACTCACCATCAACCTTACAAAACACAGGGTCACTTTTATAATGAACATTTTAGTTAGATTTCATCTCTTTCCACAGTTAACATTTTCCCATTTGAAAAGAAGTTAAAGCTGTTTATTTCCAAAAAACAAAAACAAAAACAAACAAACAAAAAAAAACCCTTCGCGTTTCCTTTGGTATTAGGAAGGCAGTATAAACACTGTAATTTTTTTAAAACCCTAACTCCCTATGCATTCCACTGATTAAGGCAACAGTGAAACATATTGTGTTGATAGTCAGAAGAGAAGGTTTCAATGAGTGTCTGTTTATGTGAGTGAGTGTGGGCACACACGTGCTACTGTGCATGTGTGGTGGCCAGAAGTCACCCCAGGTGTCGTCTTCACTGTCCATCTTGTCAGACAGGGTCTCTTTTTTGTTGCTCACTCCTCTAGACATCAGGCCAGCTGGCCCATGAGGTTCTGGAACTCTCCCGTCTCTGCCACCCATATCACTGTAGAAGTGCTTGAATTACAGGCACACACGTCATCGCGTGGGGGCCGGGGATCCGAACTCAGGTCTTCGGTCTTGTGCAGCAAACACCGGACTACCCACTGAGCCATTTCCCCAGTGAGGGCTATTTGTAGAAGTCCTTCAATATGGCCGGTGTATGTGCATCTCTCTGTCTCTCTCTCTGTCTCTGTCTCTCTGTCTCTGTCTCTCTCACACACACACACATAGAAAGAGAGACTGTGTATTCCAATCTTAAGAAAAAAATCATTACATATACTATCTCAAAAAATAGAGTTCTATAGAACTGATAAATGAAGCATTCTTAATGTACATGATACATATTGAAATCTCAGGAACTCTACTTTTTAAAAAACTGTTCGAAAGCATTTGTCTATTACCTTTCTCATTTTCTGCTTGAGTCACATTCAGAGATATTGCTTCCCTGAAAAATCATGAAGTTTACGTAAGGTTTAGGACATTTTCCCACTTCGGACACCCACAGCTGTTCAGGGCCGTCAGACACAGGCAGCCCTGGCTCAAGAAGGCTGCCTGGGCCCCAATCATGTCCTCGTTGTTCACAGCCATCCACCCCATCACCACCGGCACTAGCTGTCATCTCTGGAGATGTCACTTCGGGCATCCTTCCTCTGGAAGAATCAGAGACTTCCCAAGGCTGAAGCTGGGAAAGCCTTGGCCATGTTCCCAAGCAAAGTCCCAAGTGCAGAGCCAGACCATAAGCCTTTGATATCTAGGAGCAGACAGAACTGGGGCAGGCTGCCCTTCTCTTTTCACATCTGCAAAATTATTCCAAAAATCACAATAAAACATAATGTGGTTATCCTTTTCTTCGGAAATTCTTAGAGGGATGAAAAAATACTTAATGAAAAAAGCCAGCAGCCTATGGAAATCATTTGGGAAGAGTGTCTGTGGCCAACTGCCAACTGCCAACTGCAGAGCTTCCTGGTGCCTCTGGGAAGGTTCAGATCTATAGTTGTGAGGAAAAGAGGAAGGTTCTTAGAGGGACTCACTCCGATAGCTGGTTACTGCTAGCCTTGTATATTAGAGAATTAATTCCCATCTCTGCAGAGGCCCACAAAGATTTCCTAGTGAGATTTGAGCTTGCTTTACCCAGCAGGGTTGCATTAGAGGATTGCATGACCATGTGTGTGGTTACTAGGTGATTGGAAGGGTCTGCACTTGGCTGAGCTAGGGGGAGGTCTTTTGCTCCACCCCTTGGCATTCCTATAAAAAGCCCTTTAGAAGAGACAGAAAGGGCTAGTGGATACGGATCCAGGCTCTCCTGAGGCTATCCTGTGTTTCTGTTTCTCTCCCTCTACCCTTCTATCTAATATCTCTTATCCCTCACTCTTCAAAAGTACCCTATCGTAAAAATGTTGGAGCTGGTCACCCAGCTGGACTCCCACACATGTCCTGTAAGAGCAGAGTCATCTGCAAAGTAGGGCTGTGAAAAAGTCTCAGAGACCTTTCATATTTTGGGAGGTAAACTCAATAGTCTACAGGTCATGGTCAATCTTTTCCCCTTTTTTAATGAGTACTTTCCTGGGTTGTCTTCTAAACATCTACTCGATTGATTCTAATTTGTGGCATTAAAACCAACCACAATAAGAAGTCAACACAAAATCCCCATAATAATATTATTATTGTTGTTGTAATTATTATAATTATCATATTATTATATTAGGGAAATGGAGAGGTGGCCCAGTGATTAAAAACACTTGCTACTCTTGCAGAGAACCTGAGTTCAGTTCCCAGAACCAATGTTGGGTGGCTCATAACTGCCTGTTACTCCAGCTCTTAAGGATCTAACATCCTCTAGCCTCAGAGGGCATCTGCACACACATGCACATACATATAAATAAAATATTTTAAAATAACAATGAGGGTAGGGATGGAATAAGGCAAGAGACAAGTTATAATAATAATACAAAACAATGAACTTCAGAGAGCAAAAGTCTCTCTTAACAGAAAGCTGAGCGTGTGTGTGTGTGTGTGTGTGTGTGTGTGTGTGTGTGTGTGTGTGTGTGTGCGCGCGCCTATGTGTGCCACCTGAGTTCAGGTGCCCTTGGAGACCAGAAGAGGGCATCGGATCCCCTGGAGCTAGAGTTATAGGTGGTTGTGAACTATCTGATGTGCTAGAAATCAAACTCATGTCCTCTGAAGGGGCAGAAGACACTCTACCGGATGAGCCCTCTCCAGCCTCACCCTGAGGTTCTTATAATTTATTGAATTACCACCTTTGATATCACACTCACACAAGATACCACCGCTTCCATGTTTTTGTTATCCCCAGTGCTACCAGTGGCTGAAGGAAAGAATTGTAAGTGAAGAAGGGAGAAAACAGCAGAACAAGCTAAAAGACCTTTCTCCGATTGCGGAGCGTCTGGGATGCACACTACCTCAGCTGGCTGTGGGTAAGGAAATTCCTAGGGGATGGCAGAGCGGAGTCTGGATTGGGGGCTAGCTTTCACCAAGATCACTAAAAATGTACTTTTCTATGGCTGACCCACACCCTGCCAAGGTAACATGTCGACTGTGGGGGGAGGCTGGTCTCAGGAGCATCAGTTTCTGGTATATGCAGCAGAAAGTGAGTTATTCGGATTCTCCCAGAATTTTCTATATGCTACAACATTTTTTTTCTTTCCTTTCTCCCTTATAAGGCAGTTGCATGAGAACACATCAGTGAAAATACAGAGAGAGAGAGAGAGAGAGAGAGAGAGAGAGAGAGAGAACAAAGTTATGTGGGTAGAAAGATAGGGAAGACCTGGGAGGAGTTTGGGGAAGGGGAATAATAAAAATATACTGTATGAAAAAAATTTAATAAAAAAGGAAAAGACAATACACACATTTTCAAGCGTCTGAGGCAATGACACCCGTCTCTTCTGGCTCAAGCTTCTGCCCCTGTTGACACTCAGACAAGGCCGGGAAGAGGTTGGGAAACAGGGTTCCAAAGAGGCCCTTGGCTCCTGCCACACTGAAAGCTGATACTGCAAGGACAGCTTCCCCTGGAGACTTTTCAACGGCCATGAAAATTGTTCTTTGCATGCTGTGGAGTCTGTGAAAGGTCACGGCCACCCAAAACCACATGCACTGGCACTGGCCGTTAAAACATAATGGGAAGTACTTACTTCGTTTCTAATGTGCCAGTGGCCGAAATATGAAAGGAGAACAGCAGCTGGAAAGATGGCTCAGTGGTTAGGAGTGTTCCCTGCTCTTCCAGAGGACCAGAGTTTAATTCCCAACACTCATGTCTGGCAACTCACAACCCTCTATGACTCCATCTCCAGGGGACCCAACACCCGCTTCTGGCCTCCAAAGGCACCTGCAGACATATGGCATACATTCAAACACACACACACACACACACACACACACACACACACACACACACACATGCACGCACACACACAAAGTTAAAACTTCAAAAATATCTTTTTTTTTTTCTTTTTTCTGGTTTTTCAAGACAGGGTTTCTCTGTGTAACTTTGGAGCTTTTCCTGGAACTCACTCTGTAGCCCAGGCTGGCCTGGAACTCACAGAGATCCTTCTGCCTCTGCCTCCCAAGTGCTGGGATTAAAGGTGTGTGCCACCACTGCCTGGCCAAAAGTATTTTTAAAGTAAAACAGAAAGAGGTGAAAATAATTTTAATAATCTATTTAACACGATCTATCCCCAAATTACCATTTCGGCATATATAACATTACTGAAGTTTTTAAAATACTTTTTTTCAGCCTGTTTT